ATATCGTGCCGCGTCAGAGGAAGTATTTTTCGGAAATTTCTCCTCCAGCTGCTTCTACTACCGCGCACCGTTCTCCTTCGGTCTCTGCCAGCGGCCCGAGATCGAAAGAGAACGACGCGCGGTAGTGGGAACACAATCGGAGTAGAAATTTCCGAAAAATACTTCCTCTGACGCGGCACGATATGGTGCACTTCTCTGTACACGTTTGTATAAATTCGCTTCTTTGTCTCTCTCGTAAATCCTTGTTTCGTGTTCGCGTTGTTCCCTCGCGTACGAACAAGTTCCACAACCGCGTTGGCCTAAATATTTGAGAGAAATTCCGGGTCTAAAGATACCAAAAGTAGACCACTAAGATAAAGACCAGAGAAACAATGACGGGTGACCATTTCGGAGAAATGTTCGAATTCTACTCTCTGATTTTTTTTTCCCCGATAAGCGCAGTCGAAGAGATCCGAATGAGGTGTTACGTGGGACTAAATCTCACGTTCGTTTTGTTAATCGCCAACTTACGCGAGCGACAAAAACGTACCTACCGTGGGCTCGCGCCTGTATTGCGTGTACGTCATAACATGTCCCCGCGATTGGGGATCCTCTCGTCTCACGTATAATTGTGCAAAACTGCTTACAAATCGCTTGCTAACGAGAACACATCGCACTTGCGTGGCGGTAGATCGGGGAAAAAAAAAAAAAAGAAACTGCGGAATGCGAGCATCTCACGGTAATTAAGACATGTCTGCAATTACTGTCGTTTACGTGGCGCGGACGCGCGGCTCCAAGCCGGATCGTAATGTTGCGCGTGTTGTTTTTCTTTCAAAGCATTTAAAATTACAAATGCGTTTGTACAAGCGCCAACAGTACAAACACAATAAGCGCAACGTGTTGCAAGATGGAAAATTTAAACAACTTGAGAAGTAGAAAATAAAAAAAAAAAAACTATTCCGCGCTATTTCAATTCCGACAATTGATTTTTTTCTGCGCGGATACCTCGAGAGAGCAAAATGTAAACCTAAGATAAGTCCGTCTCTCCTCCTACCGTATATATCTTAACCTACATGAAGGGAACGCGTCGAATGGGTTGAGAGTCGAGTCGGAGGGAACGGGTTGGGATGAGTCCGTGCGAGACAGCGGCTGTGGTCCGTGAGAGCGGGCTACCACTCGACATAGCTCGACGCTGATGCCGATCCCAGAAGGAGGAAACAAAAAAGTCGGCGACGTAACGCGTTCGTTCGTCAAACACTCGAACGTAATGTTGCCAGGCCCCATCGGCGGACATCGGGGAGTGAGGGAAGCCTCTCTCGCGGCTTCTGGAGTGCCTGCTGCGGAATAGCAGGAGATTATTCAAATTCGCCACCGACGGCTTAAAATGTATATTAATCGTCTATCGTGGCGGGATGAACGACCGGAAACCGACCCGTTGCTCGTCACCCGAATAATACCAGAGCGACTTACGTGCGCGAGAATCGCTCGTCTACGTGACAACACAAAGATCCAAGTCTGCTCCGGCAGACGCGTACGGCATAAACTTGTCGCATTGATGTCACCAAACTCTTGAAAAAATGCCTCCCAATCCAACCCAATTTCTCTATCTGATAGCGCAATTACTATACCGTCCCATAAACCCCCCCAATTTTTAATCAGTTATTAAAAAAGTATTACAGTAAGGTTTCGATCATCAAAAATTAGTCCAATAAAAATTTTGGCATGATAATTAATTATTTCGACATCCATATGCCTCCCTTCGGACTAGATTCGATGACCCAAACCTTACTGTAATATTTTTTTAACGAACTGATCGGGAATCGGGCGCTGATCGGAGGCTGGGTCCGTGACGGTGATAACACAACATCATCGAATGTTGGAATTTTATCTCTACCAGAGTTTAATACGATTGACATAATTTCTCATCAACCTTAATACAAAATTCCAAGCCGTCGAACACTTATCAAAGATTTTG